TTGCAGCTTCCGCGTACTCCGCGTACAACGTACTCAAAATTCAACGTCATGCTTGTATAAATCGCTGCTCTGGCCGGGGTACGTTTCCGGGGTCGACCGAATAAAATCGAAACCCAAATCCGACGAGTGTGTTCTACTGACAGCTGGCAACCCTTACCATTACTATCAAATGCACACATTCGGAACTTTCTGGCTTGATTAGAGACGTTTTGCTCGGGCTGCCGTATTTTGGCCGTTACGCTACGGGCAAGTACGCCACAGATAGCTAAGCGCAGTTGAAGCGGAATTTTTTTTTACAGTGGTAACGTCCAGTAAGAAATTTACATTGCCGGCCGATGGCCATTGCACGGTGATATCATGTGCGCAACGTTGGACCCTGAGCGCACGAATGTAAGTAGTTTAAATTGGTCGCGATATCTGTATACATCACCGCTCTGACCGTCCAGCAAGCATTGAGTGGTATGCTGTCGGGAGTTGGACCGAATAAATTGGAAACCAAAATCCGGTAAGTGTGTTATACTGGCAGCTGATGGCCTATTCCAGGATTAGAAATCCACGCAGTGGCAATGTTCTGGTTTTATCATAAATATTTTCCTTGTACCGCTGTATGATGGCCATCAATTTCCGGACGAGCCGGCCGCAGTAAGCTAGGCGTCGTCAAGGACTGATTTGGATAAAATTGGTGATGTCGGATGATAACATATTTATATTACCAGCCGACAGTGATCCAGAAGATAAATGCATCCACCAGGCTGTACCTTCAACGCAAGAGCGAAAAGAATTTAAAATTCAACGCCTTATCTATGAAAATCACAGCATCCGGCGGAGTTCAAGGATTGAGCGAGACCCTGGCGGGTGGTCGACCAATAAAATCGAAACTTAGGTAGACGAGATGGTTGTAATGACAGCCAAAAGCCTTATACCAGTACTCACACAATTGTAATCTTGGCGTTTAATTATCAAGATTTTCCCGGGCCGCCGCACTATGTCCATCGCTCTATGTGGAGGCCGGCCACAGTTGGCCACAGGTGTGTGGAGGCCGGCCACAGGTACAAACATGCCAGCGGTGACCCAAACAAGAAAGGATCATATTGGCGGATGAGAGATTTACACCGTCAACCAATGACAGATTTACATGGTTTACCGGTAGTGCCCCCACAATGCATCGCCTGCGCTAGGTTGCACCTCCCGCGCATAAGTTAAGTATTTAAGATTATACGCCGTATCTGTGAAAGTCACTGTTCCCGCCTGGTACTAGGTTTTAAGCTATACCCTGGCGGGATGGACTGGATAAAATCAAAACCGAGAACCGTGGAACGGGTTACATTGTCAGCTTATATCCCTTTCAAGTGCTATCGAACACACACGGTCGCAATATTTTGGTTTGATAATTGCTTAGTCCCGGGCCACCGCATTTTGGCCCCTACTCCACGCGGAGGCCGGCCACAGTTGGGTATGCACATGCTATTGGTGAATTAAACAAAAAAGATCTTGTCCGCGGATGAAAGATTTGTATTGTCAGCGTAGAGTGCTCCCACAATGGATTTGTTTGTGCAGGCTGCGTTTGCTGCGCGCAAGGAAACATATTTCAAATTTTGACCCCGTATCTATGCAAATAATCGCACTCGTCGGCCAGCAAGCAATGCCTGATACTCTGTCGGGGGCCGACCGAATAAAAACGAGAACGATATCTGACGACTCCGTTGTACTGAAAGCTGGCATGTACATACCTAACTGTGACTTTATATCAGTGCCATCCAATGTACATATTTACAATATCCATATTCGATGATGAGCACTTTTCCTGGATCAGAGTATTATGGCCATCATTCTACATGCAGACTCACCGCCGTAAGCCTGCACTATCAAGGGAGGATTTAAACAAAGAAATGTCATGCCAGCCGATAGCGTTCCCAAAATGACAACGTGTTTGCAAGGCTGCACCTTCCACGCACACGTAAAATTATTTGAAATTGGACGCTGTAGTTGTGCAAATGACCGCTTTGGCTGGCCCACTAGAAGTGCGCGAGCAGTAAACAAGCGAGCATATGTCATCGGGGATCGGCCGAAAAGAATAGAAGCCGAAATCTAAGGGCTGTGTTGTACGGGCAGCTCATAGCCCTATGCGGTATCAAACGTCGTCGATAGGTAAGTTGAACAAACTTGGCTGTTGGCTGATAAAAACGTCCGCAGCGTGACAGCTATAATACGGCGTCCCGGGAAAAAACTGACATTCAAACCCGAAGATTGAGACTGGGTGCAATCGACAGCGGTTTTATGGGGCTATCAGCTGTCAGTACGACACATTTTCTGGAGTTTCATTTCAATTTTATTTGGCCGAGCCCCCGACGACGTATCACTCAATGCTTCCGGGCCGGGCAGAACGGTGATTTGCGCAGATACGGCGTCGAGTTTGTCATCTTATACTTGATTTTTTTTCTTGTCGGCTTTTACCCAAAATACTTTTACTTGTTACTTTTTTCACGAAATACTTTTGCTTGAACAAACCGTTAATAGCAGATTATATGAACAGCGAGCCGGTTGTGTAGAATTTGACGAAGAATATGGTAATGTACGAGGCAACATTAAAACGCGCCCGGGTGACCGGTTGAATACCCTTTGCTTGGGTGGGGAGTCAATTTAACCTCCTGAGATCTCAAAAACTGAGATAGCTGGAAACAACAAACTCGCAGGGTGGCTTGACCAGTGTATCCTCACTTATGTCGAAGTTTGAGTTTTCTAGGTCATGATTCTGGAATCGAATAAGGTCAAACAGAGTCGAACTCCAGATTGGAGCCCAAAGTTCCCCACACCTCTTCACGAAACCGCCATGACGCTAGATACATGTTCTTAACAAAAGGTCAATGGTTTTTATTCAAGGCCGGTGACCTCCTTTAACCTTGAAAGGCAAGGTGACCAAAAAACTACGAAATTGCTGTTATGTTTCATTCAAAACAGCATCAGGGATTGCGCAAGGCGATAAGCTCCTAAAAACAAAATAGTGGCCTGGGTCACGCCAGGTCAGTGATCTAATCTGACTTTTAGCACTCGCCCGGGTGGCTGGTTAAATACCCCTTGCTCGGGTGGAGGGTCAGTTTGACTCTCCTGAGATCTCAAAAACTAAGAGAGCAGCTACACCAAATTCACAGAGTGCATTGGTCTGTACGTTAACTCACGTGTGTCAGAACTTGAATCTCCGGGTCATAGCCTTTTGGGCCAAATAAGGTCAAACATGGTTGCAGTTCAGATTTGCGTCCAAAGTACCCCAGACCTTTTCATGCGACCACCGTGAACCTAGGTACCTGTTCTGCGCAAAAGGCCACTGATGCTCATTTTAAGTCGATGACCTTATTGAACCGTTCCAATGTTACAGTGATCAAAATCCTCTAACAATGCTTTGGTTTTTGCATTGAAGCGTGAAGGATTACGCTGGGCAGTATGTTCTTAGAACAAAACGTTGGCCTGGGTTATTTAAATCAGTGACCTATTTTGACCTTTACGAAGATCATGCAAGATGTAAAATGTGGCTCCTGTTATCAGCAAGCTAAAAGTGAGCACCAGAAACTGCCCATGCATAGGGCCTTAGAGTAATACAACAGGTTGGCTCTGACCTTTTTCTGACCTTCATACTTGACCCTAGGTCAATGCGATTTGTTAATTCAACAGTTGTGTTCCTAAAAAACTATCTCCGAGATGTATGGCCTTGTCTCACACTCTGTTGTTACAGCAGGTTGAACGGTTCCTTGATATTGTCTTCACTAAATCTATGGCCCGACATTTGACCTGCCACAGGTCAGCAACCTTATAAGAACATCTAATTTTTTAACAAAAGATCCGCTATTCAATTTTCTACAGCTATGAAAAGTTTAACGCGACTACATCGCGCCGTTCGGAAATTTACCTGGAAAAATATTTGGGGGGAGTCAAACTGCCTCTCCCCTAGGGTGTGTTAAGTGGCCAGTAACTGAAATGTGCTTAGATCTTATAAGGCCTAGCACCCCGTGGTCGTGCCGCCGCAGGTAGTGAGAGTGAGTGGCGAGCCTGGTGAGTCTGTTGTACGCTGCAGTACAGACCGTTCTGCTCAGTGCTTGTTTCGTGCATGCCCACGTAGCTGCCGTGCTTGGGAGGTACCTAGTATACACATGCTGCACTTTTTGGGTACGTGCCTGCATGTACAGCCGCCGTACTCGGTCTGTACCTGTCTACGCTCTGCCGTGCTCAGTCTGTGCCTGTCTGTGAAGTCAGCCTTGTTCTATCCGTACCTGCGTATATTCTGGCGTGATCGGATCTCAGCTGTCGGCATAATAATCGCGAGTGTCGAGCCACGTATGTTGCGTCCTTCAGACGCTTATGTGCGTTACTACTTTAACGTCAAAGAGGTATGCGGGTTTAATTATAGGTAGCCAAATCAGAGTGCAGAGCAGAGTGCGTATCTGTGATATCATTTTTTAGTCGGAACAGCGTTAACTGCAGGAGTGTACTTTTCCATTCAGCTAGGCGAAATTTCAGCCCTTCCCCTTCCTGCTTCAACTTAAGCTTCAGTCCCCCAGTTGTGAGAAAAAAGTTGGTAAAATGCGGAAAAATCTATTTGTTGGCATATTTTGGGGCATGGTGAGCCATTTTTCACTGTTAAACTCCCTCAAAAATGGACCTGCCGCTAACAGTATAGTCTGTCCATTATCGATACGAAGAGAGCCCGATGTTTCGCCCGTCCTATCTTGCATGATTTTCGTATGCACGTTTTCATTTCTTATGCCATTGCATTTTAATATCTGGTGGAATGGACTTGCAAAGCGCACTGTCAACCTCAACACTAAATTATGTGTGTTTGGCCTCCCGTTCATATGCACCTTACGCTAACAGTTTGTTATGTATACGAATGTATGCATTTCCGATGTTCCGCCTGTGCCGCAGCGTTGCGGCTCGCGGTTAGCGGCCGCACAGCATTGAAGTCTCGGCACCATTGACGTCACCACTCTGTTCAGATCTGATGAAAATCCGACTTGTGGCAAAGTATGCACGGCAGCCTATTAGGACGATTGGAAGAAACGAACCGGGCGTAGTTTGCGTTCCGTCTTGGGGGAGGGCGCGGAAGGTAAGGGTCGCGTATCCTGGCATCTGTGCTACTCATACTTTCAATGACGACGTGCGCATTGCCTGGTGATAGAAGAGCCATGTGATTCGCGCGTCACGCTCCATGAGTCCGGAATAGGCTCTCTCCTGTGCCCTCGCAATCCGTTGTTAGGCCACCATCGGACGCAGCACTGTGTGTCATTGTGTTCGTGCAGAACGTCTCGGGCAAGTCATATATGTAAGTTGTCCATTTGTTTACTGCTTGTGCACACATTGCAAAGGTTAAAAATGGGATTTGCCAATCATTGGTACTTTTGCAAGAATTATACTTTTATAGTGGTTTTAGGAAATGCAAATTATTTGCATCCCAATTTTATCTAATGAATTACTGCCATAAGTAAATGTACAAATAGATGGCTTCCTTAGATGCTTCACATCATTGAAATTTAGAGCAAGGCTTAGACACACTCATTCAGCTTGTTCAATGTGGCTGTGACATCACTGCAACAATCAGTGTGTGTATGTTGTAACTAAATGTACAGAGTTGAATGCTGGAGGCATAGAATCAAGTGCTGAATGACCAGTTGAATGCTGAATATTCATGATTTAATGCTGAATGCTCAGAGTTGAATGTGGAATGCTGTGAATGGTCAGCATCACTTTTTTGTACATGGCCTGTATTTTGAGAAATTGTGATGGCTCAAAGGTAATTTCAGGCTAAGATGCTCACAGCAATCAGAAAAAATAGTGTGGAAATTCAGAACAGTTTACATGACATGGGTGGCACACAAGGGTGCAAGGTTGCAGACACTGATGTGGTAAAGGCATCCTGCATAGGCAATTTTTTCTGACTGGTTTGGTGGTTGGTAGTAATTCACTGTCTTGTGTGTTAACTTTAGAAAGATGGGTATGTAGTGAAGATAGAGAACCAGCTGGGCTGCCAGGGTGAAAAAACACTCATGCCAAATGTGTCCAGCATAGCAGCAACAGTTTATAAGCATGCTAGCCATAAATTGTAGAGCCAAAGTTTGGTGCATGGTTGCCAGTATCTTTGATGCATTGAAATAATGTTTCAAGAAATTATGGCCCTGCTAAGGGATGATGAAGCAGGAGTTCCTCTGAAAATAAAAATATAAAAATATGTGGATCTCTCAAGCAAAAATGATCTAAAAATTTAATCTATCTTAGCCCATGTTCCAGATTTTGGTCACCCATTGGTATTATGTTAGCATCAGGCACAATCAATTATTTTTTTTACAGACAGGCTCGAGTTCTTGGTTATTAATGCAGTGAATATTGAGGAATTGTGGAAGATATCAAGTTTCTGCTTTGCAGCTGAGATGATTTGTGGTTTTACAACAAACTGTGCCTGGGGTGTCAAAAGCTGATATGTTGGTAGAGGGCAACAAGTACCATGTTATTTGTGTGATGGTAGCTGCCCTTTTTGTGTGTGTCTGAAAGTGTTATGAGGTACTTTGATCTTAGCCGAAGACCTGTTGACATCATTAAAGTCCCTGGGAGCTCCTGAAACCGTTGTGAGAAAAAGTGAAGGCGGGCATAGATCAGATGTGTGGTGATGTGATATTTCATGACCTGGCTCATGTGATAGTTCATGACCTGGCTCTTTCATTTTACCATTATGGAAATGTGTCTGTCGTGCCCAATGACCAGGAGGGTAACTGATCTGCAGGAAGGCATTTTCAACACCTCCCAGTCATTTTGTTGTAATTAACTTAGAGTTTTGTCAGGGCTTCTCACTTAGCAAAGATGTGAGAGTTCTTGGCAGATGAGGTTTACAACTTGATACCTTGTGACATTCATCACCTCATGACCATGTGATGCCTTATCCCTCATGACCACTTCATGCCTCATGGTCAATTGATATTGCCAAATATCAATATTTAAGACCACACCAAGCTTTTTCCTGGGTGTGTGGTTTGTGGACTAAAGTAACTCATCATATGTTGAACATTTCAACATAGTAGAATTGTTTGTGTCCCCACATACTGTTGGCATTGCTTGCTGTATTTGTACCCCATATGCAAACATTGGCCATCTCGCCAAACACCATGGCCACTTGTCTATACTTAATGTTGATGTTATGTGTGCTCCAAACACAGACTGCAGCTGTCTTGCTGAGCATGATGGCTGGACTCAGTGTGGGCGCTCTATATGCTGCAGACTTAGATTACAGCTGTCCCGCTGAACACCGTGGCGAATTATTCGGACTCAATGCTGGTATTCTGTGTACTGCAGGAGTTAACAGGAGCTACTCCGGTGAGCACTATGGCCGGCTGTCTGGACTCCATGCGGATGGACTGCGAGTGTCTGGAGCTGGGGGAGCGGCGTAACGTGGTGGCAGCGGCGGTCAGCGGAGTCCTGGTCAGTGGACGGCGGCGGTTCGCGGCCTGGGGCTTGCTGCTGGATCATAGTAGTCTCTTGGGCTTGTCAGGGTGCTGCCAGTGACCAGAACAAAAAGAGATAAATGTCCTGGATGGTTTCACTTGTGTGACAAGATTTGTTCTTTGTGTCCCAGCTTTGGCACAATATCGAAACAAGTCATAGAAACCTTGCTGACTGTTGCAGTTATCATGGGAAGGTTATCGACCCCTGTGATGGGAAAAATAAATATGCAGTGGTTTCAGGCCAATTTGTTTGGTTGATTTGCTTTGGTGTTCAAGTTTAGTTTGTAATGTGTTCTCTACCCAAACAGCAGTCACTTGTACTCTGCAAACAAAACCATCATTTTAAGAGGTCGGGTCAGTGTCAAGTACTTACATTCTGCCAGCTGTTTGTTTTCCACTGTGAAAGAATTCTTACCAGTGTATAATGGTCACTTCAGTTCTTCACTGGCTGGTGGATCATGATTGACTGTGCTGCCATCTACCCCGAGATGAAGGACATGCATCACGCCTACCACGTTTGTGGCGTGGTTGGCACCATATCCTTCTTCATGTGAGTCCATCTGCGTTTTGCTGCCAGTTGGCAAGTGCAGTCTCTGTTTTGGAGCCTGCTGGGAAACTGCAGTTGTTGGTGATCCGGCTGGTTACCACTGCAGTGGTCATGTACTCAGTATTTGCTGGCAGGGAACTGCTGTGTGCAGCCTTCCTGTGTTGCCAGTCTCATATTATAGTTGGCTACAGCCCCTGTCAGCTTGGTGACGGCCCCTGTTGTGACGACGTTTTGTGGTGTGTTGCTCAGATCATGTTGATCCGTTAATCAGTCTGCAGGTTTGCTCAGTTGACATTTCGACAGTGCAGGGTTCGCCATTGTGGGTAAGGCCGTACGCTGTCAGCTGAACTCCAGGTCCTCGGACCGCGCCACTCGCCCGCTAACGGTGCCGGCCGGTGGTGCGTGCGTGCGTGCGTGCGTGCGTGCGTGCGTGCGTGCGTGCGTGCGTGCGTGCGTGCGTGCGTGCGTGCGTGCGTGCGTGCGTGCGCGCGCGCGCGCGCGCGCGCGCGTTGCCCGGTAAGCGTCATGCTTGCGCCCACGAGTGGGGGATGATGTCGAACGCGCCGCCTGCGCAGGATAAACGCCGTCTCGAACGGCCACATCCGCGGCGACCTGTACGCGACCGGCTGCCTGGCGCAGCGCGGCGCGCGCGTCTGGCTCTTCCTGGGATTCCTGCTCGGCTTCGTCGCCATCATCGCCGCCATGTGGATCCTGTTCGCGGGCTACGTGGTTCCTGGCGGTACGTGTGAACCGACCTGTGAACCGCCCGACCGTCGTGGTGTATCGTTTGACCTGGGTCTAACATTCACCCAGCATTTGACCGGGGGGATAATTATGTGCCTCGTCTGATGCAGGCAGCATGAGGCGTGAGTTCCAGAATGGGAGTGCTGTCCCGATCTACGCACACAAGACGGTAGAGGGATTCACGTATCGGGTACATCCACGAATACTCACATAATGTGAAATGGGTAAACATAGGTGAGAAATGGTTAATGGGTTGGTTTGGGAAAATTATGGGTGTCAGTGCAGGTATGATTAAAACGCTTACAAAATATTTCGGGTGGGTTCTTGAAGACTGCCACACTTCGCGCTTCTATGAGTCATGATTAGCTTCATTCACACTACGCTGTCATTCAGCGAGGCGAAAGAGTATGTTTCGGCGGAGACTTTTCTGAAACATTTGCACAGGTTATAACTCAATTGCCGAAAAGCACAGACGGGTGGAGTGTCGGTAGTGCAGTGGTTAACGCGTCTGGGAAACCAGAGGTACGGGGTTCGATTCCTCGCGGTGCCCGCCCTTCCTGCCAGGGTGAGAGGCAGGCGACGCCATATAGCCTCAGCAGCTGAGTGTGTCGTAAGCCCCCAACGACACATGCACGCTGGGCCAATCACAAGCACAGACGGATAGGTGCAACTGATAATGAGTGGGCAGCGGGTGGGTGCAGACAGCGTGATGCTTAGCGAGTACTTTGGATGAAGGATATTTGTTTTCCGTTAAGATCCCTGTATGTCGGTCTGCGCCCAGAAACACAGGAAGACAGAAAGAAAATATTTTGCTTCGAGTGAATGCACTTTGGCTCTTACATCAGACTGCTCAGCATGTATTCCCTGCTACAAGAATGCACCTTCAGGTTTGTGTGACGTTTTGCGCAGCCGAAAGTGTCCTTTGTGCACAAGCCCTGTATCTCAGCAACGTGCCACATTGGGGTGGAACTGGTGCCCGCTATCTTCAGCCCGCAGCCTATCTTCAGCCCTTCATCGGCCCGCAGCCGGACATGTTCGTGACTCCGGGTGTGGTCGACGCCCATTCTGATATCGATCAGATTTGTGTGAAGGCGTGTTGGGATCGATCCCCGAACGCTTCTGATGAAGCCGATTCGAAATTAAATTAGCGAAGTCACTTGTCAGCTGAGTAAAAAAAAGTAGGCAACAAAATGTACTGATAACCTGACGGTTTCCATGTGCAACACATATATTACATTCACATATGACTATACTGTTGTCCAACCAAAAGTCCAAGGCAGGCTTTTAAGGATTGCGTAGAATGGATTACCTCCGAAACTGTCACCGGGATCAGATCCATCGGAAGTGACTGGTTCATACGCTCTGGAGTCGAAGGGGGAGCCGCGTCCGTTTTGCACCGTGCCGCTCAGGGTCAGGGTCAGGGTCGGAGTTAATCCCACGCTCTGAGTCAGACGGCCAGTCAGTCGCACTGCAGACTGCTGTCTGGTGCGAGTCTGTTGAGGTGGCGCCTGCCGTGACGCCCGCCCCGGCCAGACTTGTCCGCGGCGGAGGCACCGGGAGCCTCGACAGGCCGCTGTGTGGTGGCGCGCACTCGAGGGGGGAGGCGTCGCCTTTCCACCAGCCTCGGCAATCCGTGACAACAGGTGAAATGGAAAGCTCTGAGGCTTGGATTGAAGGGTAATGAGCGATACGAAAAAGTCTTCCTACTTTATTTTGTTGGAACAAACAAAATATGTTTTTAAAAATATGTTTATGCCTGCCTCCAAAATTAAAAACCTTTGATACGTTCAATGTTGCGCCTTGTTTTGTATCGTCACATGATGGGCCTAAGCATTCACAGGAGTAGTTCTGGGGATGAATTGAAGGGGGTATTCGTGTCAGGGATGTAATCGTTGCCCGGGCTGTCATCATGTGTTGTGTTAGAACCCACTCAACGTTTGTAAGCATCACGAAAGGACAGATGCGGCGCACTCGTCTAACGCCTGGCCCATGCTGCGGGAGCTGTTATCACTGCCCGGCTGTCACCATATGTTGTGTTAGAATCCACGCAACGTTTGTAAGCACCACGAAAGGACAGATGCGGCGCACTCGTCTAACGCCTGGCCCATGCTGCGGGAGCTGTTGTGGCCGTCTCTTCAGATTCCATCGGCGTGTTAGGGCACGTGGTCTCGTACCAACAATCTGGACCGGAGCGGTGTAGACAGTGCGGCCCGCGTGTTGACCGGCGACGCCTGATCCGTGGCGGCGCGTCTCCGACATGATTCATCGACCGTCAGCGGCCGGCGAGCCTCGTCCGTGTTTGTCCAGCGGCCGGCGCCCCACAGCCGGCGTCCGGAGCCGGATAAGCCGGCCGCCGGCGAGGGGACTTGGTGGGGATAGGTGTCGCTTTCTGGCTGTATCGTGTTGCGCAGGCAAGATGCCCACTCTCCGGCGATGCTCTGTCGGCTGGGCTGGCTCTCCAGACGGACGTGCGTGGGCCGTGTTTTGTCGTCTGTGGTGCATGTGTTCAGCCGCTGTCTGTGGTGTCCAACCGTCTTTGTGTCTGATCAGGCAGCTGTCCTCGCGTCAAGCTGGATAGGCTGTGCCACAGCCCGTCAATCTGGCGAGGCCGCTCTGGACTCTGTGTCAGATAAGAAGCTGTCCAACCGTCTTAGCGTCAAATGGGGCAGCTGTCTGACTGTCCATGCGTCAGATAAGACAGCTGTCCGACCGTCCTTGTGTCAGATAGGACGGCTGTCGGACTGTCTGTGTTAGCTGAGACAGCTGTTTGATTGTTTCTGTGTCAGCTGAGACAGCTGTCCGACTGTCCCTGTATTAGCTGAGACAGCTGTCCGACTGTTTCTGTGTCAATGAGACGACTGTCCAACTGTCCTTGTGTCAGATGAGACAGTTATCTGACTTTACATGTGTCAGATGAGACATTTGTCCGACTGTCATTGTGTCAGATGAGACAGCTGTCTGAGTGTCCCTGTGTCAGATTAGACAGCTATCGACCCTCTCAGATAAAGCAGTTTTCTGACTGTTCTCGTGTCGGGTGAGATCATTGTCCGTCCGCCCCCGTGTTGGCGGACAGCTGCTCTATTGTCTCTGTGTCTGGCGGGACAGCCATCTTTCTGTCCAGTTGCGCTGCGTCGGACGTGGGCAGTCGGCTTCCTCTGTCATGTGTTGGGGAGCCCAGTGAGTGGTGCGCCGCCCGCGCTGACCCTGCTCATCTGCCGCAGGCTCGCGGTCGCAGTGGCCTGGCATCGCCGTGGTGCTCCAGAACCTCTTCATCTTCGCCGGCTCGCTCGTCTACAAGTTCGGACGCTCGGAGGAGCTGTGGGGCTGAGCTAACCCCCTCCGTTCTCCCCGTTCCACGGCGTCGGCCGGCGCTGGCCGACGCCAGCCGTGAGCGTGGTGACGCCGCCGGCCGCCCCAGCCTCGGGCGGCGGCACCGGGCCGGCGCTGCCGTCAGTCGGCGGCTGCACTTGGCGCGACGAGCGGCCCGCCGGGCCCGGCTTCCTCGCCGACTGACGGCCAAGTGTCGGACTGCTGTTGGCCGTGACACGGCCGGAGCCGGGCGCCGGCTGCCGCGGTCAGATGCAGACCGCTGACGGGTCCGCTGACCGCCACTGAGGCGTAACCCGGAGCCGCGGGCACTGCGGTGAACACGTGTGTAGCTTGAGCGGCGCTGCTAGGTCTGGCTAGGGCCGTAGCTGCTAGGGCTGACGTCCGGATCTCCAGGCCTTGGTCTCTGTGGGCAGTTGTCAGCAGCCAGCCACATTACGTTTTGACACGCTTTTCATTGGCGTGTCAGTTATGTTAGGTGGTTCATTCTAACTTTGTTTCCCTCCCTGTGATCATATTTTCCGCCAGGCTATCGCGCGACTCTGCGCGATAATGTGACTCAGTGCGGGTGATGATGGTCGTCGCTTAACTATTATGCCGCATTAATTTATTAAGTTTAGCTACACATAAATGCAACGGCATAGCACGAGCTGGATTTCCCCCCGGGAAACACGGAACCGGTGATCTGGAAAGTAGGCTAATGTAACCAAACCAAATGTGTTGAAATACACAAACTGCTGCATTGTGGCACATTTTCCCTAACTTTCGGAAGCCATATGATGCTTTTTGCAACATATGATACATTCGACCGTCTGATCCCCCTTCGTGCTTCATCCTGCATCCTCACGACGCGCCTTTGTCCGAGGCAGGCTGCATGCATCAGCCTCGAGTGGGTCGGGAGGTCTGCTGAAGGGAGTCCCCGACCGGGCGCCAAGCACATACCGCGCGGAGGGTTCCTGCTCGAGCTAAGCTCGGTGGCTGCCCTCCTCCCCCGTCCCCACCCCCAGGCGTATATAGTCATGCATCATTGCCATCCATTCTCCATCCCATAGCCCTGAAACGATCATTTCTGGTCGAAAGAGCTCTGCAAATGACCACACTTATGCATCGTACAGTGGCGCCATATCGTTATTCGGCCGAACCAGCCAACTATCTTGATATATGTAAAATTGCTTGCAATACAAATTGACAAGTCGTAGGGATGCCTCCATGCATATGCTATGCACCACACCGCGATGGCAGAGATATGCTGAAAGTTATGGCCACAGGGGAGGCCCCGCTTGACCATAACGAAAGGAGAAAGTACGCCTTTTATGCAGTCATTCTACATAAGTCTTTCTTCGTCAGTCCTTTTTGGAAATTCTAGCGATTCATTACATTTGCATCTAAAAGATAGTTACATGTGTGGCTCCTCAAAAGCTTATGTGATTCATGGATCTCCTATCGATTTGTCTTGAATCGAATGCATGCCTGATTGGGGGCCAACCCTAAGAGACAAGAATACGACCCCGAATCAGTATTCGCAGGTGAGCCCACGCCTAGATATAGGTCTTACGCGCTTGGATGTGGAGTATGTAGAATGCACTCCCCTACTTACACACAGATTAACGTAGTTTGCACGCCCGCTTGGTATGTGCTTTCGGACGGTCATATCTAAGTAAACCCCATGGCATAAAGAGCACTCAGCCACAGAAGAAGACTTTGCAAGTCTCCCGAGCCCTGGTCTTCTAGTCGTCTAAAAAAGTGGGATTTTTAGGCGGGTGTCATTGGGGCGCTTCACGTCGTGGAATTAAAAAGTGGGATTTGTTAACGCCTACATGTCTTTATAAACGTCGCGTTTCTCTTCAAGACAGCACCAGATGCCTTGTCTGCCGATTCTTGATAGCAGAGTGCGTGCATTGACTTGTTTAATCGCCTATTCGCTTAAAGCTGCGTGATAGCAGAATAAATAATTGTGTTATGAATGAGCATAACTTGCTATCGTGTTGCAATATGAATACAAAAGACTGGCAGTGGCAGTTATCGACATTGGCCGTAAAATGCAGCCGCGTTACGGTGCAGCACTCGAAGTGCATGATTCTGCGGCAGATCCCACCGTCCGTTCAGTGGAAGGCCATGACGTCCTGCCGCGGTCGGAAGGCAACGGTGATCTGGTGAAGATATGAATGTGTTTCTAAGCGTGTGTAGGCATGATCATAGATGATCGGAGTACCGGGCTGTTGATCACGTATCGCAAATTTAGTTCATTCGTATGCTCATCATGTTCTGGTTTCACAACGCGCAAGACATTCTGCGGCCAATAATGATAGGCATGTGTTTTGAGCTCACAAGGTCAAGCAAAGCCCTTATATTTGGGGAACCCCATGCAAGACGATTGACGGCAGGCAGGTCTCCACATTTACCCCGTGCGATAGTCTGCAAGACGCATGAAGAGGCCACAGCTCAGTGCTCAGGGACTTTGAACAAGGAATAATCTTGAGATTTGAGAACTCATTCGAACGTACGACAAACTGGCGGCCATTCTCATTCATTGTGGTGAATCGCAAAGCCTACACGGTGGCGAAAATACCGGTAATCATGTCAGTATGTGTCCGGTATATATCCTGGTATCCATTTATGCTGCTACCCCATAGGTCACGCTATGACCTTGCGGCGTCTAGCAGCCGGCTCATGATACTCCATGTCGGAACGGTGGTTATATTTATCCAGGTGTAGTCATTTGTAGAACATTCCTATATAAAAGCTGGCGCCACAGCTTTTGCCGACCTTGAAGTCCAGTTAGAGCTTGAGCTTGACCCTTCCTATCATTTATCACCTTGCCTACCAGCCAGTGCGTGTACTTAGAGATGTACTTTGGAAGTGCAGTACGAGGAGACCAATGATTTCCATATGTCCTTCGTGAAACGATGCGGGAAAACGCCTAACACTCGGTTTGCCTTCTATTATATCACATTCGGAAGCCGCATGTTTTTGTATGACATCTGGAAGCCGCGTGTTTTGAGGGCATATTCATCTCGTCCTTGGCTTTCTTTCAGGGACAGAACGTCGTTAGCCTGTCTTGCTGAATGTGTCGTATTGTACTTTATAAGCAAAGTAGCACATTTGGAATATCGCCGACTCCAAACGGTAATCTCTCATGCTGACATGAGGCTCTCCTAGCCTCTCACAATGTGCCTCTGAGCCTCGCCTCTCGCCCCTCCCCCTTCATCCCCGATAAAGATGTATCAAAAAGGAATACCGGATCAAGGAAGTGTAGAAAATTTTCCTGCAATGCCAATACGCTGGGTACCGGAGGACATCACTGAAGTGTCCCGTTCATTTTGTATCACCGGTACCTTGTAGGCTTCCGTCATTCCAACTCCTTTGTATGTAAGGCCATTCTGCAAAGCGTTGACAGGCTTTTACTGAGATGTCATCTGGAGGGGACACAAAAGTGAGCTACGATATGCGGATTTCTTTTAAAAAGGTGATAAGTTTTTAGATATAAGGGTTGTAGAATGCTGAACAATTACCACGGACGTCACAGTCCAAGAATATTGCACAAATATTACAAGCATTCCCGTCGTTCCGGCTCTTACTCTCCCAGCACCCAGTACGCGGTAGGTACCGTGGTAAACGGTGCCAGAAATACAGACTTCTAAACCGAAAGATTTCGATGTCACGTAGCAAGCAAATGCATAGAAAGAAACACCGGTTGGTGCCGTCGAGGAGGTTACGGCTGTGCAACAGTTTTTAACCCGAGGTCCGCGTGGTTTATTCTTTGAAGCTGGCATTTGTTTTTCCGTGCACCATTGCTTCGTATCAGGCTGCCAGGTCTTCACCTAGTGGTGGGAACGCTCTTCATGAACGTGCGTGTCAAAGCTGTACATAAAAGCGGTCGCGGGTGCTGCATTTTGTTTTGCAACAGCGAGGCAAACAGCAATTTTGGTTTCCGTTGTTTGTTCTATTATTACAAAAGGAAGCGCAGTGTTCGTGACCGGTTTATTAACACCTTTGGAACGCACGTTTATGGGGAGCGTCCGCACCACTAGATGAACACGCGGTAGCACGATACGCGCCAACGGAGCACGGCAGTAGCGCAGACGGGGGGCACAGGGGGCACGTGCCCCCTCAGACTCCGAGAGTCCGAGGGGCCCGAAAGGCCGGTCGGAGGTTGCATTCAGGGGCACAGGCCCGCAGGGCCGGGCACTCTCATACCAGCCAGAGGGCCCTGCGCGCTAATCAAAGGCCCCTGAGTCGATAAGGACCTATATATCAGTCAGACATCACCAGTAACACACAGTCGGCTCCGTGGCGGCCTAGGTCTGGGGCCCATTTCCCAAGCAGGGACGAAGCCGGAGTCAGCGACTTACACTGGTCGGGGCCCCTGCATCTGTAAGGGGCCCACAACGCCTAACGGAGGGTTCTGTGCTCGCAAGGGGCTCAAGGCGACTAAGGACAGTGTTTGAGGAGGTCTGAAGAGCCTGGAGGACCGACCATGTCCGGCCCGATTGGATGGAACACGGTCTAAGTCTAGGTAGGATGGTCTAGGAACACGAAGGGCTGGCTGCAAGTCACATGAAAAATCGCCGCCCGTAGAATCGTGACCTGAAATATCAGTCAAAGGTCGTCTTGCACCGTTTGAAGACACCCAGACAACGCGGTTGTCTAAATCGGCCAGAGACCACGAACGTCGAACAGTTGGCCGCCTGCCAGAACTCTTGGGGCCCATTTCCCAGGCTGGAGCAAAACAGGGGGCTACGATTGGCGTTGGTCGGGGCCCTTGCAACAATGCGGGGCTCCTGTATCAGTCAGGTTCCCACAGTCCCTAACAGGGTGCTCTATGTCAACAAGGGGTCAGGCAGGGGAGTCTTTGCTTAACAGGGACGAAGACGGAATCCCGAATGACAGAGGGACTCTTCCGCGGGCCACCGACAATGAAAGGAACCCTGAGAGCTTATGGTGAGTGTTCACATTAAGACAGTGGAAGGATCCTGTGCCAGTCAGAGGCCCAATACCGAACGATGGGCCCTCCAACCAGCTTCCAGCATCGGCCCGTTAAGCAGAACTGGAGAGTTTACGTGACAAGTATTGGACTACCTGCGGTGGTCAGGGATGTTGCGTCGGTGAGGGTTCTTACGTCGATCCGGGGCCAATTGTGCGTGTCAGAAGGCCTTCTGCGTCAGGGAGGGTAACCACTTGATGTGATGTATCTCTTTAAGGGCCCCGGTTCCAGCAGGGGATCCCGCCCCGCCTCGCCAGAATGGCAGCCGGAAGGTCGAAATAAGTTATAAAAAAGAACTAGGCCATCCCATGTTTTTTTTCTTCTGAAAACGTTCATTCTTTTGCGGAATCGACTAGTGAAACAAAGTAAACAAAAAGCCCGAGCGTGCGTGCCCGCAATCTCGGGAGCCAGGACAGCGATGCCCTGGGTTACAGGTTGTGAAAAGCCAAACGGCGTTGGCCACTGCAAGTGACACTAGGCGCCGGGCGCCGTGCGCGCGAGAACGACCGCCGTGAAATGATGGTTCCGAATGTTGTTTTTTTTAAAGTTAATTCATACCGTTCAAAGATTAAACTGGGCGTATCTTTTTTACAACCTTGAGGCTGTCATCTGGACAGATGAACATTTACAACACGAAAAATAGAGGCTGCTCTTCTAGTATCACCACCAGATTCCAGCACCACTTCGCGGTGTTCTTCGCGGCTGAAACAAGGGTCAACCCGTTGTGATGCCTCATATGAAAATTCCACAGGTGAAATACA